TTAATTTATATATATATATATATATATATGCTAAGTATAGAGAAGTGGCCCAAGTCAGATTTAAAAACTCACTTCCTGACAGCAACCACTGAAGAGCAGTAGCCCTGGCCCTCTGCCACCCCACGGCCGTGGGCCTCAACAAGGGCCACAGGTGACTAAGAATGTGAGCAAACCAAGGCACAGCCACCAAACACACCAAGTTTGTGTGGGACCTAATCCAGGAGGTGTGCGGCTTCGCCCCCTACGAGCGGGGCGCCACGGAGCTGCTCAAGGTCTCCAGGGACAAATGCGCCCTCAGGTTCATCAAGAAAAGGGTGAGGAGCTGGGGATATAGCTCAGTGGCACAGCACCTGCCTAGCAAGTGTAAGGTCCCGAGTTCAATTCCCAGTACCCAAAAGAAAAGGGCAGGGCTGCACATCTGCACCAAGAGGGAGGGCGAGAGCTGAGCAATGAACGTGCTGGCCGCCATGAGGAAGGCAGCTGCCAAGAAAGACTGAGCCTCTCTAGAGTAAAGCTTTGCAGAAAGTTAAAAAAATAGAAGTAAAAATAAAAAATAAAGTAAAAAACTCACTGCCTGAAAATATTTACTAAGATTTTGATCAAGATCAAGGAGAAGGAAAAAAAAAAAAAAATCAAGAGGTGGGCCAGGGAGATAGCTCGGCAGCAGAAGCACCTACCTACCTGGCAAGCGTAAGGTCCTGAATTTGAGCCCTGGTACCTCAAAAAAGATCAAGAGAGACATTTTAAAACAGTCTGCGTGCCCTGGAACAGATGTTACTAGCTCACACAGAAACTGCAATGTTATCGGGTAAGCCAACTCTATGAAATAAAAATCTAGATATTTTATACTTTTAGGTCAAATACTTCTCCGTGGAGGTGTCCAAAATTCAAACACCTACTTACTTAACTGGTCTGGTCCTGGGGATTGAAACTCAGCGCCTTATGCATGTTAGGCAAGTGCTCGATGACTGAGCTACATGCCCAGCCTCAAAATGCTATTAAAATTTTTAAATCTAAAAAGTGGTTCAATTTAGATTATTTTTCTTGGAGAGGGGCAGGGCTTAGGAGCTGGGCTACATGCCAGCCCAGGCCACGTCTGCACCACACTCACACCCACTTACTCACCTTTGCCTCTTTGTAAGACAAAGATGAATCACACACACACAAACACACAAATAGTTATAAAGCATTTGAGAGAGTTTTTGATATCTAACGAAATAATTCTCTCCATTCGAGGCATGACCAGAGACTCTAATCCACAATTTCAGTGACCCATGGTCAACATGGTCCAAAACTACGGTAAGATATTTTGGGAGGCCACATTCATCTCACTTTTGTAACAGGTTGTCATAATTGCCCTATTTTGTAATCGTGGTCAATCTCTTACTGTGCAGAATGTATAAATTAAACTTTCCCATAGTTGTGTATGTGCCCAGGAAAATGTATGGTACACAAGTGTACTCATCAGGTTTTGTTCTGTCTACGGTTTCTATCATTTATGGAATGTCTTGGAACATTATTCCCCTAAGGATAAAGAAAAATTACTACAATCTATTTTCTCTGAGAAAATAGCTACATAGCTTTACATCATTATCATAGACCAAGATATGATAATAAAGCAACTTTCAAAACACTTATCAAAGGGCCAGCCAAATAGCTCAGAGGATTAAAGCTCCTGCAAGCAGGCTCAGGGGCTAGGGGCTCGATCCCCCGGGCCTGCAGTGCTAGCCTGGGCCGGCGGGGTGCGCTGACAGCAATTGAGGCTAGGCTTGTTAAAAATGCAAATACTTGGGGCTGGGGAGATGGCTCAGTGGAATAAGTGCTTCCCTGGCAAGCACAAGGGCTTGAGTTCAATCCCCGGTTCCGCCAAAAAAAAAAAAAAAAGTTCAAATCCTAGCCCTAATCTCAGCATTTGGGAAGCTAAGGCAGGCAGAGTTTTGTGAGTTCCAGAGCAGCCTGGGAACAAAGTGAGCTCAAGACCAGCTCAGGCCTGAGCTGCATGCATAGCCAGATCCCGTGTAACAGAAAAAAGGAAAAGAAAAAGGAAAAGCAGATCCTTCACCCAGACCTTAGAGGTGGAGTGTCTGGCATTTTAACAACAGCCCTAAGGTGATTCCAGTGCACTAAAAGGACAAACATTCCTCAGGCGACCTCCGGAAGAGCACAAGCACAAAACAAAGGCCTCTGAAGGAGAAGCCCACCTTAATCCTTGCCATATTTGGACTGCAAGACAAGGCAGAAATAAAACGTCAGAAGCATTAGTGAGTAATACTTTTGGGCCAGGGAGCTAGCTCAGTGGCATAAGTGCCTGGCTGGCAAGCCCAAGATCCCGAGTTTGATCCCCAACACCTAATAAAATAATAATAATAATAATAATAATAATAATAATAATAAATTTTGCAATCAGATGCATGAATAACATCTTTCTCTAACAAGTCCTAAATTCGGGGTTGTGTAGGTGTGAGAAACCTAGTTCTAGCTTACAGTTGCCTATAATTCCTTTTTTCTCCCATCTAGCTAAAATGTATTGTTGTTTATCTCTCTGCTTAGATTCTATCATGCAGCAATGAGTTTCCTAAAAATCAATAAAGAAAATGACTTATCAGAAAATATTAAGCAGAAAGGCAAAAAAAAATTAGGTTGCCTTATTCTAATTTTGTAAATAGAGCTGCATAATAGGATACTCAAAGAAAGTACTCACAAACCATCACCAGGTTTTTGTGTTAGGGATTACTTCCCCCTGCTTTACGATGTCTATAAAGGTATATTCAAATTTTTAAATTTTAAAATGAACATAAACATATACTTTAGCAAGGTATAGTGGTTCAGGCCTATAATCTCAGCTACACAAAAGACTGAGGCAGGAAGATTATGAGTTTGAGAAGAGAGAGAGAGAGAGACAGAGACAGAGACAGATCTATATATCTATATCTATATCTAAATCTAAATCTATATCTATATCCATATCTATATCTATATAGATATATATCTGCTAGGGCTATAACTCATTGCAAAAGACTGTGTTCCATCCCTACAACCACAAAAAAAAAAAAAAAGAACAAGAACATACATTTTCAAATTCTGGTTTTTCCATTAAAAATACCATCATCAGTATAATTAAAATCATGTATTAAGAAAAACATAGATTTGAAATCCTAATATAACCAAATTTTCCATTCTTCACTGAGAGGCTAGGGATTTGGCTCAGGGGTAGAATGCTTGCCTAGGAAGCCGGAAGCCCTGGGCTCGGTCCTCAGCACCAAAAACAAAAAAATAAACCTCTCCTAAAAAACAATTCAACCAAAAAAATACAGTAAAATCAAAAAAGACCAAAAATAAAGAAGGCAACTGAACATTCTTCACTGAGCAATATCCCCAGCCTAAACTTTACATTTTTAAAACTTAAATTAATATTTTTGTGCTTTATCTATTCTTTGCATGTGAGACATTTTTGTTGTGTCTAAGTTCATGTTCTTATGAGTAACATAGATTTATCCCTGGATGAGGCCTCTCTCTCTTCCTCTCTCTCTCTTCCTGTCTGTCTGTCTGTCTGTCTGTCTGTCTGTCTCTCTCTCTCTCTCTCTCTCTCTCTCTCTCTCTCTCTCTGTGTGTGAAGAGTCTTGCACACGCTGGGCAAGTGTTCTAACACCCAGCCATCTCACCGCTCCCATTTTTCCTTTTAAAAGACATTTCTTTAGAGTAAGTTGTTGGCAATGGTTTTACAAGCTCAAAGGTCATGAACATTTTTATTGGTCTTAAAACATAACACATTTCCCTCTTGCCCTTCAAAAATTACACCAATCTTGCAGGGTGTGGTAGCCCAGGCCTGTAATACCAGCTGCTCGGGAGGCAGTGGGATTTCAAATTCCAGTCCAGCCTGGGCAACTTAGTGAGACTCTGTCTCAAAATAAAATTAAAAAAAAAAAAAACGGGTTGTAGCTCAGTGCTTGGCTAGTTTGAATGAGGCCCTGGGTTCAGGCCCTGCAAAAAGTTATACCAATCTTCATTACCACGAGCTATGGGAAAATAAATGGCACTCCTCAAGGGGGCGAGGAGTCTTGAGGGTTTTTAATTCCTCCATCATATACTTTCTTTTGGTTGCCTTAACCTGTACATTAGTTTTAATTTTGTAGCTTTTTTTGGATGCTGTTTTAATTTTGATTTATTATGTTTAATAATGTCTAAATGATCAATACACCAATAACTAGCATAAAGAGTTGATGTATATAAAATTATGAGTTTTTACAAGAACAACTTAAATACACCCGGTGCATTAAAATATAAAAACCTGCCCTCTTGATGTTGGATATCATAAAGTAAAGGGTTACATTTCCAAGTTAAGGGCTGGGGTATATAGTTCAATGGTAGAGCATTTTCCTAGCACACTTAAGGCACTGGCTTTGGCCCCAAGCTCTACAAAAATAAAACAAAACCTAAAAAAAATTCTATCCAAGCATGGATATGCCATAACCCCAGCATTTGGGAAGCTGAGCCAAGAGGATCAGTGTGAGTTTGGGGCCAACCCAGGCTACACAGTGAGACTGTCTCAAGTAACCCAAGATCAGTAAAATAAAATAAAAATTTTAAATAAATTTAAGTGTTTGAGATAAGTGACATCAATACATAGAAGCAAAAAGGCACAGAAGATTTATCTGTGAAAGAAAGTAATACTGTCATGATTGTTCAGCACATTTAACTTTTGTATCTAAGAAAGTTAATTCAGGGGGCCGGGGAGATGGCTTGGTAGAATAAGCACTTGCCTGGCTAGCGCAAGGGCCTGAGTTCAATCCCCGGTTCCACCAAAAAAAAAATTAAAAAAAAAAAAAGAAAGAAAGAGTTAATTCAAAGATATTACTACTGAGGAAAACAATTCAAGGTTAAAGAGTTCATTTAGCCATCTCTTCCTTCCTTAAAAAAGGACCATTAGAAATCCACAGAAGGAAATAGGGAAGTAAACACCAAATGATAACATTACTAAAAACCACTCGGTGAAGACCTACCTGATCTGGCCAGGCACGGCAGAGCGAGGAGCACGCAGAACCTGAGCATGTGGGAGCTGGGGCACGCGTGTCACTGTCCCAGAGCAGAGGAGGTCCCTCCGCAGCGCCTTGGGCTCCAGGCAGGCTGCGCGCCTCGGAGCTGGCCGCCTAACCCAGAGGTGTGGTGACAGCAGGAATTGCCCCAGAGGCTGCCGTCCCAGCCGGCCAGGATCCTGACTCCTCCTCCCTTCACGGAAAGGTCAGTCCTTTCTACTTTACACGGTTTCATGCATATCGTCATATTATAATTTGTGTTTGCAGAATGGCGAGTTCAAAATAGTTTCATTCTTTGTGGGCGGTTTACTAGCTGTTTGGCTTGGTGTGTTGAAATCAAAGGTGATTTGAAAGATTTCCCTGCCGCGTTCTTAAGAATGAAATGACAAACGCAATTATCATTCTTTGGCCTGTGTATACAAACGCACTTTTTTATGTTAATTTATACACTCATTTATACACTCCCTCACCAATGGTCTTTCAAGTTTCAATAAGAACATTTCCTTAGGTCCACTTGCATACCTGCTTGCGAAATACATCTGTGCTTCTGATTGAAAGAAACTTTTTTCTTCTGTGTTATAATCTAATTTTTATTTCTCTCTGGCCACAAGTTCTGTCTGCCTAACAGTTCTTTTTATTTTAAATGTAAATACTGTACTGTGCTGGAATCTACCCACTACAGTATCAGATGTCACTAAATGTATGCTTCACAGCAAAAGGCTGGCCACATTCTGGGGCTGTGGAACACAGGTAGGTCACCCGCCCAGCATGCGGAAGGCTCAGGTTCGACTCCCAGTACTATAAAAAAGGAAGAAGAGAAAAAGATATAATAGTAATTTAATTCCCTTTCTGTCTGCGCCCCGCTTAAATAGCTGGAGAGTCCTTGTGGGGAATACTGTACGTTCCAACCTTACTACCTGAAGAGCCAGTTATCACAATCAGGATTAAAAATAAATAAATAAATAAATAAATAAATAATAGTCAGGGCTAGGGCCAGGGGATTGGGAAGGGGGAGATGTAGAAAATGGGGGGGTCTATCTCCTTTTTTGCTCTCCTTTCATTTTTTTATTTGGAGACAAAGTTAAGTTACTAAATTGCCCAAGCTGAGCTCAAACTGGCATCCTCCTACCTCAAACTCCCAGACCCGAGAGGCTTTTAAAACTTCTGTGCCTACACTGCGCCTGTAATCCCAGCACTCAGGAGGCTGAGGCAGGAAGATCCCTGGGAGTTCAAGGCCAGCCTGGGCTACTGAGTTCAAGGCTAGCCCATACTGCATAGTGAGACCCTACCTCAAAAAAAAAAAAAAAAAAAAAGCTCCATGTATAGATTTCTGTGTCACACCTCAGACCTAATGAACGTGGAGACTGAAGTGGAGTCCTACAGCTTCCACTCCCTAGTTTTGTGGCCTTAAGCAAAACATTAAGTTCTTGACATCCTAGCTTTGTCAGCTATAGAATAAAGACAGTAACTTCACAAACCCACAAGGCTAAGTGGGAGAAAAGAGATGCCAGCGCCCAAGTCTTCAGCAGGGCGCCTACCACCACGGTAAGCCCTGTACCCACTCGGTAACTACCGCTTCTTCTACCTAGCCAGGGATCTGTGTTGTCCCTCCCCTCCGAGTGACTGAGTTTCAGGGAGGTCTCAGGAATGGGGGCCTCCGGGTGTTAGGCTCTGTGTTCTAGATGAAAGACTTTAGTAGGCTTTTAGCCTACTTCTTTTGTGTCTTGCTTGGGTAAGCTAGAAAACTATAAATAAGAAAGTCAAACAGGTGAGCTGCTTTTTCCACTTGCTGATTTGCAAATGACTGTCCTTGGGAACAAATGGTGAATTGTTTCCCAGCTTCTCTTATAAGGCACTGTTTTGGAATGTGCTACTCCCTGCCCGATCCGTGTACTTTTCTGATCAATGTCTGTTCGGCTCCTATGTCCGGTGCTTATCAGACGGAGTCACTATGCATCTTGTTGGAAACCTGCCAGCTAGAGGACCAAGAACCCCTTCTTGGGGCCGGCCCCTCACTATTAGCTTTGGGGTCCGACCTGCCTACCGTATGCTTCTTCCAGTGTTCAACAGCACAAACATCAGCAGGAGAAACTGCCCTTCCTTTTTTAGATTTGTGATAAATATAAGCTATAACAAAACAGGCCAAGCTGTGTGGCACACACCTATAATCCCAACACTTAGGAGGCTGAGACAGGAGGATTCTGGGTTTGAAGGAAGTCTGGCCTACATAGAAAGACCTTGTCTCACAAAACATTCCAAAAGGTGGGGGGAGGGATAACTTAAGAATGTCATTGTCTCTCCTCTCCTCTCCTCTCCTCTCCTGTCCTCCCCACCCCTCACCCCATGCTGGAGGCAGAAGCCAGGGCTCCCTGCAGCAGGGCACAGGCTCCTCCAACAAGTTGTTCTGGCGCAGAGCCTTCTGGGTTGTCTGCCACATTACTGGCTATGTAGGATGCCACATTCAGGAAAACTGGGTGAGGCTACACAGGACCCAGCTTCTCCTGAGCCACTTATCCCCAAATCAAAGATGTTTGTTTGTTGTGATACAGTTTGGCCACACAGCCCGGGCTGGCCTTGACCTCTCCATCTCCCTGCCGCACCCATCCGAGCGCTGGAGTTCCACACAAGCACCGCTGTACTCGGCGTTCGAAGTTCTTTTAAGGATCCCCCAAACGGGGCAATTCTTCTCCTCCCTTTGAAGAACACTCACTTGAAGGTATTTTGAGGGAAACCACTTCTTTCCTCCCCCATCAGCTCATCAAGACCTTCGTTCTGGGACTGATTTGTGTCACAGCTGTCCTGGGCCCCACTGTGCAGTACTAGGCACTGTTTGCTTTCTCTGTAACCTAGAAATCACTTGCCACAAGAGTAGGGTGGCGAACTTCAAATGAGTGGACAGGAAAAACAGGATGAAGTGGAACTCACTGCTCCTGAGAGCTGAGGACGGTGGCACTGTCCCCACCTATGCCATCAAGGGCCAGGGCTGCTCCTGGAACCCTTTGTCTTCTGTCCACACACCTGACCTTGCCGATCACTCATGTTCAAAAAGTTTGCTTCTTCCATTCGTATCTACAAGGCGATCAAAATGACGCCCTCCAACCATTCGGCTGGGTTACTTCCTCATTCTTTCAATCATCAAACATTTCTTGAGCCTATGAAAAGAACTAAGAACCAAGAATGGCCTTACCTGCCTGTAACTGAAGCTACTCGGAATGCTGAGGCAAGAGGACCGCAAGTTCAAACTCAGCCTGGGCAACTTAGCGCCTCAGCCAGACCGATAAGTTTCAGAGGCTAGAGGCAGCAGCAATGGCGGTGGCGCGGCAGAGAAGCAGAAATAAGGGGAGGGAAAGCCTTTATTAACTCTAAACACAAGGAGAAGATCAAGGGCAGGGAGAGGGGCAGATCCTCTGACCTGAGACAGGGAGCCTGAGACTTTAGAGACTTTTATTAGAGGCGGAGTTTGAGAGGCAGGTTTAGTGACATAAATGGAGCTGATTGGGGGCTGCTTTGTGTGCGCGGGAAAGGTCACAGGAAGTTGTACCCAGGGCTGGAGTGGGGAAGGAAGAGGAGCGGTCATTAGGAAGGTAAGCTGTTGTTTTAAGAGCTTCAGCCATTTAGACGACCACCATTATAATTCAGCGATTCATCCTACGGCCAGAACCTATCAGACCACACTTCAAAATAAACAGTAAAAAGGGGCTGAGGATAGGGAACTGAAGCCCTAAGCTCAGTCACTAGTACCAGAAAAATAGGAATAAAAAGGGCTGGGGTTGTAGCTCAGTAGTAAAATGCTTTCCTAACATGCATGAATTCAACCCCCAAAGAGAAAGAAAGAAAGAAAGAAAGAAAGAAAGAAAGAAAGAAAGAAAGAAAGAAAGAAAGAAAACAAGCAAACAAGCCAGCCCAAGGTTTCCTTCCCTCAGGAGACAGCCATTATCAGCCAAATGGTTATAACAATATTAGCATGACGCGGGGACATAAATTCTATAAAACAGGAGGCAATAAGATGTTGGATGTCCCAGTGGCAGGAGGTGTTGGAAAAGTTTACAGAAGGACCTTTGAACTGGGTTCAAAGGTCAGAGTCTGTGAGGAGGAGGAGGAGAGGGGAAGGGTGCTGCTTGCCTGCAGGCCGTAAGAGCCCTAGGGATTGGCCTGGGAGCTGATGTGGAGATGACCAGTGATCTGAAGACAGACTCCTGGTTTAGCAGAGTGGATTTGCCCTTCAAGGAGGGGACCTGGCTATTTTCTTAACTTAGTTGCATTAATTCATTGTTATTTAATGGTACAAATAGACCTGGTATGGTGGCACACACCTGTAATCAGTCACAGCACTAGGGAGGCAGAGGCAGGAGGATGCCTATGAATACATGCCAGCCTGGGCTACATGGTGAGTTCAAGGCCAGCCTGGGCTTCATAGAGAGACCTTGTCTCAGAAAAACAAAAGAAAAAAATTACATATTTGGTACAAGGTCTCACTGTGCCGCTCAGACTCAAAGTGATCTTCCTGTGTTCAGCCTCTGCAGTGCTGGGATTAGAGGTGCGTGCTACCACACCCCATCTCAGTGGCCAGCTCAGTGTGCCTGGAGGCGGGGCCCATGTGGCATGTGGTGCCAGGGATCAAACCCCCTGTGCTTGCCTAAGCAGGCACTTAGTCCGCTGAAGATCTCACCAGCCCTGAAAAATATTACAAATAGAGCTGAGCATACTGTTCAGCAGCAGTGTTTCCCTAGCATGCAGTCATTGGGTTCTATTAAAAAAAAAAAAAAAATACACATATAAAAGATAGTACATTTACATGTTGATATTATTTATTATTTGCAAAAAAAATTCTTTCTTTGGTAACTTACTACAAAAGAAGAAGAAAAATATCTGCCTACTGATTTTCTGGCTTAAGAAGTACTTTTCAGGGCCCGGGAGATGGCTCAGTGGAATAAGTGCTTCCCTGGCAATTGAAAGGGCCTGAGTTCAATCCCCGGTTGCGCAAAAAAAAAAGGATTTTTCATCTGAGGTCAGTGCTCCCACCCCAGAAATCCTTGCTACTGGGGAAGGAAGGCAGAAGAATTGCTTGAGCCAAGTAGTTTCAGGTCAGCACAGATAACAGGGAGATGCCCATCTCAAGTTCTCTTTAAGAAGTATTTTTCATGGTGTAGAGCTACTTTGTTTTAGAAAACATGCTTTCTTTATAATGTATCAACTAAAAATCACACATCCAGTCCTTTTAGTAACTTTAGAGTGCTGTGCAAAAATTCCAATAATTGCTAGACAAAGACAAAGGCAAACTATGCTTTCTTACAAAAAGGTCTCTTAAAAAGAAAATAAGCACAGGGGCTGGTGAGATGGCTCAGTGGTCTAAAGCACCTACTTACAACAAGCTCAGCAAAGCATAGGGACTGCGGTTCAATCCCCCAGCACCACATGCCAGCCAGCCCCGCCCCCTGGTGGGCTGAGCTGGCCACACACATACACACATACACACACACACACATGAATTAAAAAAAAAAAGATAAAAAGAGAATAAGCACAAGTTTGAAGAATGTATTCAATTTTTTTTTTTTTTTTT